ATAGTACTTTGGGGGTGCCCGTGCATATTTGCCTCCGCGCGCGGGCCTTCCCTCATCGCGGGCCGTTGGTCGGTTTGGGGCACATGTGACTCAGCGTCTTGGCGTCAGCGCAATCAAGATGTGAGAGCCAGCCAATGAGTTGGGCCGAGGAGAGGAATTCGGTTTTCTTAATTTTCAGAAGATTAGAAATGCTTATTTATTTTAGTTATGAACTGAACTTCGATAAATCATAGTAAATTGCGTAGTTGTCCAAAAATAGTGAGACTACTTTTGTTGGGTTCGCAAAAATATCATCTACTGGATAGTACAGTTGGATTGCAGTTAGCTATGGCGAGTATTGGGTGATAAATTCAAAACTAGAGAACGAATATTAGGTAGGTGAATAATTGTTGGGATATTTGTAGAAAATTGGTGATAGCTATAGACATGAAAATTTTACAGTAGACTTGTTAGGTTATTAAGTACTTCCTATAAATTTTGTGATTTTAGAATGGGTTGTTAAATAGCGTAGATATTACCCTTGTTTATTTGTATATAGGGTAAATCAGCATTAGGAGTAAAAATACCGGTAGTGGCTATAATAATGATGAATGCCATATTTTATGCTTGTTGTCGATAGCAATAGATAATTTAGCACTGTGGTCGATAGCAATAGCTTAGTAGTTAAATCAATATACTGTTATTGTAAAATCTGCTGGTGTTATATTTCAAAGCATTGAATCATCATTTCATGTAGATCACGAGCTGGTAGATTTCGTGTCCGTCGGCAAGCCGTAGTACGACGAGGTGATCGAGGAGTACAAGGAGGAGGTCTTCGCACAGGAGGAAGCCCATGAGCCTGTTGGTGCTGACCCTGCTGACCCGGCGCCTGCCCAAGGCAAGCCCCGATGCATAACCCTTATTTTAAATGATCACTGATATATATATGATGTGCATTTACGTTACAGGCATTTTATGGAAACTACATGCATAAATATATCTACCTATGAGTCCTACTAGTACAGGTCGAGTAGCTGTTATGCTCAGGATATCGGTAGCGTGGGTAACCTACCGTTACTCACAAGTAGGTGATAAACATGATAACTCATGATAAAATGATAAAGGTAAATGGTGACCGGGCAGGGATAGGGTTTGGGTACTGGTGGGTGTAAAGGGTTGTGTCCTGCGGCCAACAGGGCATATCTCGGTTATACTGTTTCCCTGTCTGTGTCGATTAAGGACCGTTCGTTGCATATGACTCTAGGCAAGTCACAGATATATTGTCCCGAGCACATACTTGGGTATGGGCGCTTGGAAGACTTGTTGCTCTCTTGTCGTGGATCCGGCTCTTTTCGGACCGACTGTCAGGGTTTTATTTTTTGTGGAGGAGGTCCTTGCACCGCGCTAAGTCCAGGACTCAGTGGCGGGGGCTTGGAGTCCCAGTTTAGACGGGGACCTGGACACCCAGGACATGAGAGTGATGGGTTGGTCCCGCTTGTGCCTGGGGTACAAGCGGGACGTGTGTTTTTGGGGCACCCAGCTGGGCACATTAATTCGCGAATCGCCGGGCGATCCGGTACGGCTTGTCTGCGGTTTAGCACCGTAGTAAGAATTGAAAGTGAAGAAAGTAGAAGAAATATAACTGATTGCTCAACCCTTACTTGAAAGTAGAACAGGTGCTTATATAGACTGGCTAGGTGATAACCTAATACGGCTGATAATAATAATACATAAATAAGGACTCACTATTAGTATTGCTTTCTGCTAAAGAAAACCAGCAAACCATAAAGCCTATCATATTTCTTGGAGTCGGGAAATTATTCCCACTAGTTGGATAAGTCTTGCGAGTATATTGTGTGCTCAGGGTTTATTTACCCCTGTTGCAGGTGATGCATGAGATGTACCTTGTGTGGAGGATTCTTCTGGTGGGCTCAAACGGATCCTCGTTCCTATCGCTAGATGTATATTTTTAAATTCCGTTGTTTATCATTCCGCACTCTGGCATTTGGTATTGTAATAATGTACTTTTTAAGAAACTCTGATGTATGAAATGGACTGGTATTGTAACTCGTTTTCATTATTGGATCTTTAGGAAAAATGTGGACCTTTCGGGCTCTCCCTTGGGGTGTGCCCGACGGACACCGCTCGTTGTAGCTTGCTTTCGGGGTGCTTAGTGTCTGATGGAAGACGAGCTCCTCCGTACGTGTGCTATTTCGGACGGTTCTGCCACACTTGTGACCTTTACTCCATTTTTCTCCACATTTCATACATAAGCCCTGGGCCCTTCTCTGAGACCGGAGAGCAGCCAACTTATCATCCCATCTTGGTTTAGCTTCTTCTATTTGGTGAGGTGGAGGCCCCATAATGCCAGGTTGAGGATTTGGTGGTGCTCGGCCTTGGTTCTTGTTGAAGTCTCGGCCATTTTGCTTGAAGAATTGCTTTGGTTAAGTCTCCAGCACTGAGGCCTGCATGAGAGCCAAAGATAACGCGGCATCAACCGTTCTCGGTTTATGCAAAACAATTGCAGACCGAATTTCAGGGTTCAACCCTTGCAGGAACTTGCTAACAAAGAAAATATCATCTAAAGATTTATTATGAACTAAAACCTTATGCATAGCTGACTCAAATCTATCGTAGTACTCCTGAACATCCGAGGTTTGCCTAATTTGGAGCAGATCATTCATAGAATTATGGTATAGATCTCGACCGAACTTTGATTCTACAGCTATACACAACTCAGGCCAAGAACTAATTGGATGCTAGGCCTCATATGTTTGAAGCCAGAGCGCAGCACCACCATGAAAATGAATTGTATCAAATTCAGACCATAGGTAATAAGCAATTTGGTACATATTGAAGTATTTTTCACATTTTTCATTCCAAACTTAGGGATGGGCACCATCAAACTTTGGAAAAACAGCTTTAGGCAAGCGAACTTCTCGCTGGTAATGATTATGTGTAGGCATTTGATAACACTGCGATGAGTCGCCCATATCAATGAGATGAGGTGGGGAATTGGAATACTGATCATTGGCCAGGGGCTGCTGGGGAACTAGAGTCCCCTTGTCAGACCCTGTGGAACTGTTGCAAAGCCGTGGCCCTTGGCCCACCCCTCTTCCTCACGCTTCGGGGCCTGAGGTGGAGCAAAATTGGTTGTCGCTTCCAACACCTCCACGCGCGATGTGAGTTGTTTGATATCCAAGCTGATATGGCATGGTATTGATGAATAGAAATATAATAAAATTTCATTGAGATGAAACTTGTAAACAGTGAGATGAAACCCCACTGAGACTGGCCTAATAAGCATTCTTTTAATAACCTAGCAACATTTCTTCCTCACAACGAATTCTTGAGATTTGTTAGCATTAATTTTATTGTTACTATATATACAGATGTATTTGTGAAGTTTAGAGATGACCGATAAGGAAACTTCGCAGCTAATGATGATGTGAACTGCCTGCTGATGCTATATGATGCCGCACATCTTAGAACTCGCGGGGAAAACATACTTGACAGCGCTCTCACTTTCACCAGGATTCGCCTCCAATCTATGGTGAGATGTTTAGAGCCAGAGCTGGCAAAAGAGATGCAGTATACTACGCTGGAAACGCCTCGTTACATGAGGGTTCAGAGACTAGAGGCAAGGCGTTGTATCTCCGTGTACGAGAAAAAGGCTTCACGCAATGACACGATACTGGAATTTGCTAAGTTGGACAACAGCATTCTGCAAGCTCTGTACTGTGAGGAGTTGAAAGCTCTAACAATGTAAGGAGGACACATTACTACTAACATTTTACAAAGTGAAATATATAGGTGGCAATTTACTTGAATTAGTTGCAATTTAATGTCATATATACCCCTTTGGTCACAACCAAATACTTGATGCTTTGACATATCTAGTTAAACTTTTGAAACTATGACCACCAAGACCTCTCAAATATTTGGCTTATGAACATAAAAATCATATGTATAGGTTTGCTTCGAAAAGTACTTTCACAATGTCACACATTTATTAGACGGATGCTAGGAGCAGAGAGTTGTATGTGCCCTTCGACCTTTTTTCCCCTTAACTTCTTTGTTTCATATCCACCTTTTCCTCCCCTGCTCTGGTACATAAAACTTTGTTAGTGTTTTTAATAAATTGCAGTAAGGGCGTGAGCCCCTCCTGTTCCTTAAAAAAAAGGTCGAAGAGCACCTACAACTCTCTACTGCTAGCAGTCCTCGTATGCATATAACGAATCTAGCATTCATTTCCACTGGAAGACGTGACTACTAGCAAGGAAGTCATTCAGTGGGTTCTCTCCTACCCAAAAAAATCGTTAGAGGCGTTTGTGCTATCCCGCACATGAGGCTTTTAAGGTCATTTTTTCGGACGACCCATTCCTGGATGACTTCGTCCCAAAGGTTGATGGGCTCCTACGGTAGATGCATTAAGAGTTAACATAGCCATAAGTTGTCGCAGGGTTGCCTCTCCCTGTTCTGTTGCTTTGTGCCCGGGTTGAGTGGCCGTGCACGTTGTTGTCTGGTTAGGGAGTCAAGGTCGACTTTTAGGCTTGCTTGTTTTTCGCCCTCAGCTCTTGTTTCAGTTGTTCTTTCTTTTCTTGTGTTTTTGGTTCTCCTCTCTGGTAAGCTTGGCGCTTACCAATGAGTGGGTAAATTGTAATGTACTTCTAATTTCTCTTAATGAAATATGTGTTACACATACATAAAGTAGATCCCGTATCACTCAAATAATCCATCTTTACTTTTTTTAAAAAAACTGAATAATCCATCTCATGAGACGCCAAAACACACATGCATGATCCTCGTTCCTGTAAAACAAATCAATCCTTGTACACTATATCTGTATATACAGTATGAAGCCAAGGACTGTGCCAGCTTCTGTACAGCTCAAGCTACACATATGCCTGAAAGAACCACAGAACAAAACGGAAGAAAAAAAAGCCTTCCGTTTGCTCTGAAGCATATGCAACAACAGCCTCCTTTAAATTCATGACTACGAACGACTACTCTGAACTGCGTCACTCAACTTGCACACTATCATCCGCGATGACAACGTCGACTGACAGTCCGGACATCACAATGTCGCTGGCAAGGCTCCCTTTGAGCTGCTCGACACTTCGCCCCAGGACGATCCTGCAGGTGCTCCAATCATCAGCCGCGATCTCAACTCCCATGTAGATCAAGTGGTCAGAAGCGCTCCAGAGCAGCACAAACACGCTCCTGGAGGAAAGGCAAAAGCAAAACAGAGAGCCCTATGATGTATATATAAGAATATAAGTGTTGAGCTAGTAGGCAGCAACAAACTGAAGCTACCAGTTCCCTTCCCACCTGCAACAGTTTGGGTCTTCACCGCTGCCATCGCAGACTTGATAGGTTGTGTTGCCATCGACTTCATGTTCCCACACCTAATAACACATGTAAAGAGTTTAGGATGACGTTGCAAAGATGTGTATGCTTGCATTGGTAAGAAAACACTTCAGCATTTAGTTCAGGTAAGATTCAAGCCAAAACAGCACATACTACAGGTTCTTCAAGTAGGCTAAACAGCGAGGCAAATTAATCCACTCAGAAACAGAGAATGAACAGTCTGCAACAATTCGTTCAAGAACTGAAAGATTATTTACGTTTTTATTGTGTTAACATATTATGAGGATGCTAATACCGTTTCGGAAGCAATTGCTGTTCACTCAAATTCACATGCTACCAAGCAAATAGTCGCGGAGTTCAACATTTAGTTCAATCCAGACAGCGGCGGAGCCAAGGCCCGGCCACCCTGGGCGGCTGGCCGGGCTCCCTTGCTGCGGAGTGTGACACCTTAGACCCAAGTACACTGTACTACTCGTATACAGGAAGACTCAGTAGCAGAGACAGGGAAGATGAGGCAGGGTAGAGGGTGCTGGCTAAGACACAGGGGGCAGTAGCATATAATAATAATGACGGGAGCAAAGCCGACGCGAGTCCACTGTTGGACGTCACCACACTCTCAGCTTCTGAAGTTCTGAGTTCACATTTTACCACAAAAAAATGCAAATAGCAGAGGGGAGGAGGCTTTGCCAGGCATGTAAATTTCAATTCTCAAATATGTAGGGGTTAAATGGAATGGATGATGTACTACTATTGTTCACTTGGATTTATCTTTAATTTTCAATTTCTGAGCCACCATGAACTTGTGTTCTAAAAGATTATTTTAGTTTAAAATTTAAAATTATTAAATAATTATGTGTGCTATTTTTTCTGAACCTGTCAATATTAGTATGACGTTATGTCTTTGCCCAGGCTCCACAAAAATCCTGGCTCCGCCACTGAATCCAGAGATGTAAGCACAGCAATATAATGAGAGAATTTGGAGAAGTGTTTAGTACTCAGCACAGTACATTTCCTAGGTTTGTTCAGGAGCATACCTCTCTGGGGAAGTGCTTGTACGTCAGTTGTGGGAGGAAGAAGAAATAAGGCGGCAGATGAGGTACAATATCACGTTCATGTGTCATTCTGATTGTGTTTGTCACATACTTGGCAAAGTAGGAGGCAAAAGCAGCATTGCCAACACGTGGTTGCCCAAAAGTCATCAGATGAACATTGTTACTTCCAAAGCTCATCTGTAAATGAGAGAAACGTTTCAGAGATCATGGAGGAAAAAAACATTCCATGGCCACCGATGGTAACCTCTTGTGCAGTAAAGAAGGAACCTTGTGCAAACAAATATATATTCAGTATCTGGGGGTCACTTACGGCAAGATCAAGGGCACAAAAAGAAGCTATTGCTCCACCCATGGAATGCCCTGTTACAATTATGTTACTATGTCCATGTAGCTTCCTTGCCTTGCGAACAGCATTCGTGATGGCTGGACGTAAAACTGTATTATTGTAAGAAGAGTAAAACCCAATGTGGACCTTTAACCATAGGAGAAATCTCATCAGGAAAAAAAGAACTGGAGGAAAGATAAGCCATGTCTTACTGTTGAAAAGAGAAGTAAAATTAGATCAGATGGTTAACGCCACAAACCTTAGCATTGGGCATGTTTGGATAATTAAGATTAACCTGCTTCCATATTATGTCCTTAATCCAATTCTGTACGCTGATCAGGAAATTTAAGAAGTGTGATATCATGAGATGGAAACTCCATGAAATTAAAAAAAAAGATGAGTACAAGTTTGCAAATTATTTCAGAACCTGTTCTCTTGAGTTCCCCTGATTGAAACAATGATAGCATTGAGATTGTGATCAACACCGACGAATGCCTGCGACATTGATTGTTCAATCACGAGTAGCATTGTTTTCTTTATTTAAAGAAAATTGACAATAAAGCACTTATGACTTATGAGGGAAAGGAAGTAGCATAGAGACCTGCAAGCAATTCTGGACATCAACAATTATACAAGTCATCTCAAAGCCCTGTTTTGTAATAAAAATAGGTAAGCATGGCAAAGTCAGTGAAAAACGTATCTTTGATTTACTTCAACTGAAACAGATCACATTGGACTATTCACTAAACACCATATACTCCTAGATAATCTTACTCGAGTCAAGTCATTGCATCTTGAGCATGTCCATGTATATAGAGCCGTCAGATCTGTCATATATACCTGTGTACCAGAAGAAAAAAATGGGGATCTCTTTATTTTGACAACATTAAAATATAGTGATTTCTCTGTTGAGTCCAAACTCTTGGTCTGTCTGCCTATATGGCTTCTTTTGGTTCGCTTCTTTACATTTGCAAGGTATGTTCAGGATAGGTTGTGGTCGTGAGTCTGCTCAGTCTTGCATGTCTGGTTTTCTGGTTGCTCTGAAACAGTCTAAACAAACTCTGATTTCCGTTGATCTTAATGGAAATGGGGGATACCTCCGGTTTGAAAAAATTAAATATAGTGAAAAATTGAAACTAAATGAATGATAACAAATTTAAAATAAAATGCGTAGCTGGCTGACTCTTAGGAAAATGATGGGGTAAATGATATAAAAAAAATACTAGTGCTAGTATATATGGCACAATATGCTAAAATGAAGGGGGGTTGAATAACTTACAGCTGCAGCGTATTCCACAACAGCCTTGGCCAGAGTATAGTTAAAAACAAAATTCCGCCCATTGTTGTTGACATCGGGTTCTGTGATAATTAGAGTAGTTGATTTACACCAGGCAGTGTTGAACAAACACACAGTAGCAACTATAGCAAGATACGACTGGGAAAAAGCAGAAAGGCAAATGGGGAATCCGGGAATGGAAACCCCCAATCTGGGAGCAAAATAACAAATCAGAGCCCGGCCGGAGCGCATGGATTCCACTGGGCTTCCACAGGAATCTGACACGAGTGAGACGAATCGAAGTACCTCTCCTTGCTCCTCCAGGAGGAGCGGTCGACAGGAGCAAGAACGCCACAGCAGCAGCCGCAGCCGCTTTGTCGATCCATCTCCACCCATCCATGTGGACAGGAACCCAAAACTGGCAAACTGCAGAGCAAGAAGCTACTAGGCTGGAGGAACAAAGGAAAGGGAAGAGGTGGAACGCGAGGGTGAAAGTGAGATTAATGGTTACCCCGAGGCAGAGGAAGAGGAAGGGAAATCGAAATCGAAACAGGAAATCCACATCCGCTCGTTCCGTAGTCGCTGCCCGGTTCATGAGCGGGGACAGCGACAGGAGGACTGAGGCCTGAACCTGTGTGGTCACTGTCAGACTGTAATGGCGCGCGGGGGCGTCCTGACGATTCCTGGACCAGCTCCCCCGCCGCTTCCAGGACCAGGACCCGCGACGAGGAATCGAGTGATCTAGGGAAGTGCGGCGCCTTACGGTTCCCGTAGCGCCTTTCTTGCCTCTGGGTCTCGGGCGGCCCACCTGCCCAAGGAACTAAACGGGCTAGGCCGTCTACCATGGGCCGAGAAACGAAAAGGAAAATTAGCTACTACCAAGTCCCGCTATCTATAACTCTTATAAAGCTAAAACTCCATTAGATATTTCTTTCTTTATGAAAGGTGTCCACATCATTTCCCACTAAGTGACTTCACTAAATGTTCTATCTCTCCATACAAGGTGTCACACATCATTCTCCACTAAGTCCATGTCACCCCTTATTTATTAAAAAAAATATCCATGTCATCTCTATCATGTGAAATACTTTAAATCTTTAATCTATTAACATATAAGTCATCTACATACGCTATTTGTTTCATCACCCATTCTTCTATAATGTAATCAAATATTCTATTAGTTTTTCTTCTATTAACTTGTCAATTTTTTACCTGATCTGATACAATAAAATAACATACAAGTCAAATTCATATATGTGTATACACATTATACAGAATATCTATAATAATGCTATGTATATAACAGATTTATTTTTAAGAAAATCCCACGGTCAGATAGATTCGGAAGGAGTGGAATTGGGAACGGGGAAGAAGAATTTGGGAACAGTAGTATTCAGATGTAGGATTAAGGTTCAGACTTTGATTCATTCTTACTCCGATAACCCCTTCTCCAACGACACCAACAGACCATTACATTACAATTTCCAAGGGGCTCCCTGCTGGCCCGCTCAGCTCGTGAAGCGTAGCTTATTTGAAAGTTCATCTTGTCTCTCTAAACAATTATTGTAGTCTGATTTTGAATATTTTGATATATTATCCCTAAACTCTTGAAACCGTTCAAATTACATCTCCTATCGTGGTTTGGAGTGATTTTAAAAGTGGTTTTATCTTTTTATTAAAATTTTCGATAAATACATGATAAACGTTTTAAACCACAGAAAATGTCTCTATGCTTTTAAAATTTTCAAAAAAAAGAAGAGATAGACTTTGATACTCCAGACCCAAATAAAATGTTTAGACCTCATGAAAATATATCTAGATGCTTCAAAACTAGATTTAGCTCTAGAAAAATGGAAAAAATATCCAAAAAATATAGTAAATTTCCAAAACATTCTAATCGGCGTATAAACATGTTTAAGCTTACCACATAATTGTATTGTCATGAATGCGCCACTTAGGGGCCTGGATGCACTTTCAACTTTAAACTAGAATAATGTCTCCATTTGAAATCCAATTTCATCCTATTCAACTTATTTCATATCCTTAACTTATCCTCTTCTCCTCTTCTGTTTTAGCCACTCTTGATCCAACTTGTTTGGATATCTTCTTATGTGTGCTGATGTGCACCAAAACTATTCTCAACTCCAACATTGATCAAGATGCTAGTCTCGACCCTCTTCCTCTCCCCCTTCCCCTCTTAATAGTATGTCCAAAGATATAAACATAAGTCCTAACATTACGTGTAAGTGCTCGTAGCACAAAGTAATACACTTGGCACTATCGTGTCTTTACCCTTCAGATAATATTCTTGGGACATATGTCGAATCCAATCATGAATTATACGTAGAGGGGTCAGTTAGAGATGTTCAACATATGCGAACCGAGAATAGCCCGTCCATTTGGTTTTTGCATGGAATTTGACCACCCGAGTTTGTTATCGATGCAGTTTTCTCTTATTTTTTCTAAATTTATTCTAATATTTAATGATTTAACAATGCTCTTCTCGTGTTAGGCGACCATCGACAACGAGACACATGTGTTGACTCGTAAATCTTGAAATCTACCGTCTGAGTATTTCTAAGATGCTCATATTGTGCATGTATATGAGCATCTGCGTCTATAATACGATCTGCAAAGTCGACATATAGTAACACTATTGTTCAACAATTTATGATAATAAAGTATATTGATAGCCACCGAATTGTTATTACTAATCAAGTATGCGTTCAACAAAATTGTAAAATATAATGAAATGTAAGTATACATTTAGTAAAAGCTATTTTATTAAATGCGTCTTAATATAGTAGGCAAACAAATTTAGCCGAATCAAACTATTTTATTCTAGTTATGTTTTCTGTGATTTTGTTGTCTAAAACCATCAAATAAATAAATACAACAATTTTATGCTATATCTCTCTTAATACAAATGTAGATTACTAATAAATAATTATGAAGTAAATATTATTGTTGTGCTTAGGAGGGGGGCCATGCCCCCCTTGGCTCCGCCTCTATCTTAAATATAATTGCTCCGCCTCGGTATTAAACAACATAATCTCTGTTTAAAAAATATCTTAAACAACATAATGGCCCCGTCTCTTCATAAACATAGTCAAATGGGTCTTAACTTGTAGGTTTAATCGAGATAAATATAATGGTGGAAACGGATCATTAATTAGACAAAAAAGATATAATTGCTTTAAACTTAAAACCAAGTAAAAAGACGCATTTGTTGTAACCAATCACAACTCACTGGCTGGTGGCAGGCGCTCAAGCCAAAATGGAGCGGTCCGTGCGAAAGCTAACCAACAGACACGGAGACCGTGCAGCCCCTATTTCATGCATGCAATGGAAAGTACAAAACCATCCATGTGTCCCCAATCCAGAAAAGATCGTCTCTTCATAAACATTGTCAAATGGGTCTTGACTTGTAGGTTTAATCGATATAAATATAATGGTGGAAATGATCATTAATTAGACAAACAATTTAGAAGATATAATTGCTTCAAACTTAAAACCAAGTAAAAAGACGCACTTTGTTGTAACCAATCACAACTCAGAGCTTATTTGGAATACAGGAATTTCGCAGAAATCGTTTAGAATTTCACAAAAATTGGTTTAATTTCACAGGAAAAACACAGAAGCAAGAAATATTTCCCGCATTCCAAACAGACCCTCGCCGGTGGCAGGCGCTCAAGCCAAAATGGAGCGGTCCGTGCAAAAGCTATCCAACGGAGACCGTGCAGCCCCTATTTCGTGCATGCAATGGAAAGTACAAAACAATCCATGTGTCCCCAATCCAGAAAAGATGGTAGTTAATTTAAAAAAAAAAGTGGTAGCTACCACACCCTCGTGGCCAACTATCCCCCGTTCCACATAATTCACACTCATATATACATATAGAATACTATATATATGTGTGTATAACAACAATTTTATACTATATCTCTCTTAATACAAATGTAGATTATATTAATAAATAATTATGAAGTAAAAAATTATTGTTGCCTTAGTGGGGGCTTGCCGGGGGGCCAGCATTGCCCCTTGGCTCCTCTTGCCGAGGGAAGATAACCACGTGGTCTAAATGTAACTCGCCCTTTGTCAGTATCCCTGCAAGACATAGTTAGCCACATATGCTTTAGATTCATCAATCACCGAAACCAGAGATGGCTCTTTCTCCCCACGGTGTAGCCATGCTTTAAACAATCGTTTTAATTTTGTACTTTATAGGGTTAAATCTTTCTAGAATTCACAACAAACCTGGCAGGACACAAGAAACAAATTTACAACAAACTATAAATGTGGACCTGCCTTTTCACGTGAAGTTTGAAGTTTCTTCTTTTATTACGTCAAAATGCACACGAAATTCGGAAGCCTCTATCATTCTCAGCTTAGAAAGAGAGACTGGATTTGAACTACTCCCTCCGTTCCAAATTATAAGTCGTTTTAACTTTTTTGATACATCGAGATATAATGTATGTCTAGATACATAGCAAATTTATATAAAAAAAAATTAAAGCGACTTATAATTTGAAACGGAGAGAGTAATAAATATTATGCACTCCAACGAAATACCACTCGTCCAAATTAGTAATTTCCAATGTCCTACAAATAGTTTTTCTGTCCAAATATGGTATCACATGATAGTTTTAGTCGTGGTACAAATGCGTCCAGAGTCGGACAATCTTCCGATCTGCAATAACAGTGTACGTACGTACATACGCATACGCTAACTCTGCATATCACGAAATTATGCAGTTCATCTTGGACTGTATAAAAATGGTACTGGTATAAATAAATAGCAATATGTGTGTAGGTGTAGCTGGGTATCTTGGCTGCCGATACGTCGCATCCATGGACGGATGAGCCTTCCATCCAACAATAATGTGTGGCTCTACGGGAGGACAGGGGGAGCCACCCGGCAGGTGTTGTGGGACTGGCAGTGGCAGCACTTGTGGCCCGCCACGCCGGAGAAAACCTGCGTCGTGTCCCTGCAGTCGTTGCACACGATCCAGCCCTGCACCAACACCACCACACACACACACAAGCATGAGCCGTCATCCATCAGCATGGCATTGGAGTGGGCACTGATACGGCATCGATCGGATCTTGCTGCCGAGTTGCGTCTGGGCATCTCTGCTCTGCGGCCGTTTCTAGGCTTTCTCTCTGAATTTGAGCCAGTTACTTTACTTGTCAGCCTTTTTTTAGTCACTGATGAATCTTGTTGTGGTTGTAAAATGCCCTGAATTTATACGAGAGGATACTTTGCTCTCCAGGAGAGCTGAACAGAATTGGGTCCAGAGATTTCGGATAGAGAAGGATGGTTGGGTGTGGGTCATATCAGCTTTGGCAGTTAGGCACTGACCTTTCCCATGTAGAAGTAGCTTGACTCCATCTGCAGAGTTTGAAAGAAACAAACCACTTTCAGTACTCAGACAACCTGTGCCACGTGTTGTTGAAATAATCATCTACAATTGTCAATTGTTATGATCTATCTAAACCAGTTTTCTCAACATATCATTTCAACTGTTGTGCCTGTGCTTGTTCTGGGCTCTGTCACTCTGGAGAGGGTTCATGTCGCGTTCCAGACTAGAAACCAGAGAGTTTTCTTGCAGTCAATCAAAAGACTCTAGACGCCAATCTGAACACGCTAAGAAGCTTTAATTGCCGAGCGAGCCAGAGATTCGCGTAATACCTCTGCGTCCAGGGCCTTGAAGAACTTGTCCATGTCAAAGATGGACGTCGCGCATATGGGACACGAGAACCTACACGGACAGCACAGCGTTGTTATCCATCCAATCCAAGGAAGAAGAAGAAGGCCACACGAAACGAAAGAGACGCCGACCTGGCGCCAGCAACAGCAAAAGCAGGGGAGGCATGGGCGCTTACTTGTCGTGCTTCAACATCTCGTGGAAGCACTGGAGGTGCATGGTGTGACCACACCGGAGCACTGACGTCTCCCTCAGCGAATCAAACATGTACTGCCTTGCAACAATAGCAAAGGTTCCAAATGATGAGCAAGCAGAGGCGTACAGTCTGCAGCAGCAGACAGAATCACAGAAGAAGGCACAGCAACCACACCTCGTAGCAGATGGGGCAGTTGTTCTTCATCGAGTTCTCGATGCAGCAGTGCTTGTCGCGCAGGGTCGTCGAGTAGCAGGATCCTGTGTGATATATAAATAAATAACCGGATGAATATGATTGATGATGGGAACGCAAGAATCAGTTCGTCCTAGAATCAGACGGCCGTGGAACGGGATGCAAGTGTATTTACCACACTTTTGGCAGTGGAAGAAGTTGTCCTTTCCTCCAACTCTGTTCAAACAAACGGATCGCAATTTCAGTCAGCTTTATTTAGTGCAGTAGTAACTTCCAAACGAGAGTGATAGTTTCAGAGGTTCCTAGCGAAACTGTGACTGCAAGTTTCAGTTCACAGCAAAGTATGCCAACAGAAAGAAAAAAAGAAGATTTGCATTCTGCACCAACGTTGGCACTTATCATGACCGATCTCAAACGAAACTGGACCCAGTTTACAAAGTTACCAATACTTGAAGCACAGAATGGCAGGTTGCACAGTGATTCAGATCGTGTAACGGGGAAAAGGGGAGGCACACACACACCTGCAGATGGCGCAATCGTCGCAATGGAACTGCTCCTTGTCAACCTACACACACAGACAGCATCATATCATTTACAACCAGAGTCACCAGATCAGGTAAATAAAACAGTCTACAGTACTAGTAGCAGCAGTCTGCATCTCACGTCATCGTCCAAGAATTTGCACGTTGTGCAGAAGTACTCCCCCATGCAGACGCCGCAGTTGCAGCAAACCTGCGCGATCTGTAATCGCCAGGAAAGACGGGGGTAATAATAATAACCAATGAACCATTCCACTCCGTAGATAGAGTTTCGGAGTCAATACTGTATCATCATCGCGCGGTCAATGCAGGGCCGGTCCCACTTGTCATTGGGACACGGAGTTGACACACAGTAATTAAGGTGAAAGTGAAACACAAAGTCGTGCAGTGAGTACTGAGTACTGACCGGCTGCTCGGTGTCGCAGACGAGGCAGATAACCTGGGTGGGATGGAAAACAGGAGAGGTCAGCCCAAGAAGAATCCGGGTACGTAAGCATCGGGAGCAGGAAGGAAGAAATGGTAAGCATGGAGTGCTAGATCGTCACATCGATATCACATGAGGTGTTGTATAGGGTATTCGAATACTAATAAAAAAATAAATTATAGAATCCGTCGGTAAATCGCGAGACAAATTTATTAAACCTAATCAATCTAGCATTAGCACACGTGTCACTATAGCATCACATTGTCAAATCAGGGACTAATTAGGTTTAAAAGATTCGTCTCGCAAATTAGTCATAAACTGTATAATTAATTATTCTTTTAGTTTATATTTAATACTCTATTTACGTGTCAAAACATTAGATGAGATACGTAAACTTTCGGTGAGGAGCTAAACAAGGTCAGTATACCGATTGGACGGCGTATCGATCCAGCTCGTGCCCGTCTTTCTGCGCCCAATCCAATCCAATCAATCAACCGGACCAAGATCCAACAAGGAACAGCAGCAGCAGCACATGAAAATGGGAAAAAGAAAAGGACGAAAGAAACAGAGGACCAAAGGTCAGCGTCAGCCGTCAGGTGAGCAGGGTGCGCAGGGAAGAAGAGGGATGGAGAGGGGTGAGGAGCACGGCACCGTGGATTCGTTGTGGCAATGGCGGCAGTGGAAGACGTCGCCGCAGCAGGGCGCGCGGATCCGGCACCGCCTCCGGTAGTGCTTGCACCTGCAGCTTCAGCAACGGTCCTGGTGAGCAAACGAACGGCGAGCAGAAGCAGCAGCAGCAGCAGCTTCAGCTGTGCAGACACCGCGAACGGTGAGCAGGCAGCAGCACGGACCCGAAGCCCATCCTGGCGAACCCGCGGCGCGCCTCGGCGTCGTGCTCCATGGACGGCGACGTGTGTGGAGGCAGGAGGAGCGCCGCGATGAGATCTGAGGAACCGAGGAGGATGAGGCTTGGGCTGCCGCGGCGCGGTGGTGGCGGAGCAGGAGAGTATTTTATACTTCTGCTGGTCCTCGGCGCTGCCTGCCGCTAGCGCCGGTGCCTCGAGTGGTGGTAAAGTGACTGCCTGCCTGAAAACGGAAAGAATCGCAAATGGGCGTCGTGGATTGGGTCGCCGCCCTGCCCCTGCCTGCCTGAGTGATTCTGTCCTGGCCTCCTGGGGGCTGGGGCTGTAAAAGGAAAGCTGCTTCTTTCTATTCTTTATTTTTAATATTTATTTATCGAATTTGTCAGCTTTCGTTTGGTTGTGGCTTATCGTAAACGATCGTAAATTTTTAGTCGGAACAGTATTTTTCTCTCACACAAATCAGCCAGCAGTACTTCTTCACGAACCAGCAACGAAACGAACCAGCCAACCGAACAGGCTGCCAGAACGCTAGTGTCGGAGGGTGCTTTCACGCCTGAGGTGCCCAGCTCCCACGCCGACACCTATCCCGCTCTAGAGGCTGCGCGGGCCCACGCATGCACGCAGCAGCAACACCACCACCAGCGGGCGCTAGCGGTGATCCATGGTGGCAAATTAACAGCAACACCATGTGTTTCCTCGGGATCTATTTTGATACGTCTAAATAAAACACTCGTAACATACGTCAAAATCGAATAAAACACTTGAAACGTGTGCTTGAAACATGCGTGTATAGCCACAACAACATGTGTAACACCCGATCTACTTTTAAAATATCTAGATGCAATATTTGCAACACTTGCAACATATATGTGAAACATATACAACATCTAGATAAACACATTTGCAACATGCGTCTGAAAATAGATGAAACATTAGAAACAAACGCTTGCAACATACGTGTACAAGCCATTGCAACATATGCAATATCCCCGATCTACTTTTGCAACATCTGTATTAAACACTTGCAACGTATCTCTAAAACACTTGAAACATACGCCTGTAATATATGCTTTTAGCAAAACCTAACGGACGGGGGACACTGTAGAGCGAGATCAGGCGCTGGGTCGCAGTGGAAAAGGAGGATGGAAGTGGCGGGCGGCTGTGCAGCCCATAGTGAGCGGCGACGATCCCGGCGAGCGACACCCATAGTGGAGGTAGCAACGGCGGGCGGGCAAGTGCGGCCTCACGTGGCGAGGCGCCCCCGCGTTGGAGAAGGCCACGGGAGCGGCAACCGTGCTGGAGAATCAAACGACGAGCAAAAGGAACGCTGTGACGGATGTACGAGTTGGGAAATATCCTTTTTTTTCTTGAGAAGCTAGGAAGGAAGGCAGAGGAGAGCAGGCCCGCACCACAGCATTTCGGTTTATTTATATATACTATATGTGCTGCTGCTTCTGGCACAGTGCTGCTGGTGCTGCTGCTAGCATCTTATTCTTCGTCATGTTCGTTTGGACTGGTTTGACTTATAAGCCATGACTGAAAGTACTGTTGGCTGATTTGGTGTGAGAAAAAAATACTATTCATTGACTAATAAACCATAACTTATAAGTCAAATACGACCAAATCAACAGGCCGCTTACCTGGGGTTCTTGTTGGCCGCTCAGCAGCGAGTCTTCAATGCCATGACTCAGCTAGGTAGCCGACCATGGCAGTGGCAGAGAATCAATCTAGAAGTCAAAAGTGTACCCCCTCCCATTTCTCTCTTTCTAAAATCACTTTCTTTAACCTTTTCATTCAAGGAAAGAAACCAAGATCCATCCAGGCGCCTTCCCGTTTCCTTTCTTTTCCTTTCCGAGGGGGGCAGGGGAGGCGTGCCGGCAAACCAAAGCAACTCCTGATCCTGCTGCTGCTTGCATCATCTCACGAGTGACCACGGCGATTCTTGTGCGCCCTGCTGGTTCAGCTCCGCAACTTACGCAGCATGCCATCTCATGTTGTCGTACAAACTTCTTCTCCTTCTTAATAGAAAAGAAGATACATGCTCATCACGATCTCATGAAAAAGAAACATATCAGGTCAGCCATAGCCATCCGCAGTCTGCGTTGGAACGGCGACCTCGCAAGCGGCTTCACCTGAAAGACTCGATCGATCTCCGTGCTTATCTATCTATCGTGCCCAGGTTACCTGACCAACCAAACCAATCATTCGGGCTGTTCGGCACTGGATCGCATCACACAAAATTATTCTAAAACAGATGGTTACTAGGCTCCGATCCCAGGCCAACAGACGCGACTAGTTTGTTTGTGTTTTCTGCTGCCAAAGCCCAATCGCCCGACCTTTCGGTGGAGCGAGAGATGTGGATCCCCTCCCCGGGCTTGGAAGTGATCAGGTGAATACTCAACAGGGTGGAGTGGAGTATAGATAAAGTAATCCTCAGGATAAGGTGGGCTTGTGCTACATCTAGATCTACATGCAAGTTGAAGTTGGTGTTGCTTCAGGGCCCCGGCTGCCGCCTGCCGTCTGGGCGTGCACGAGTGTTGCATTCATTCATTCATTTGACTGGATGCTTCTTCAGTTCTTCCATACCGATTACCTGCACGCTGCAGCTGTTACCAGTGGTACCCTTTGTGCACGATTTCTTTTCTGTAGCAGTCCAAAGCCTCCTGACATCACTTACTGGGTCCACCTGGTTCACTTCCCTGTTCCCTCAGCTCACTGCATTCTCCTCCTCGCCCCTTGAGGAATCGATTTCTTTTCTAGAAAGGACGGTAAAAGTTTTGCCACGATTTCTATTAGACGAAGAAAAAAAAAAGGCAAGTGTCTGTCCAGTTTTTTTAATGAAAACAGGACTAAAAAACCACACGAATAAAGAAATTGAGCAATCGATTTCTAAGTTATCTTTAAGTCAAAAAAAAAGTTTATGTTTAACCTAATTATATTTGGCACGAAAGTACGAAAATATAGTAGTTTATAATGTATCTAGCGATGCTAATTGTTTTATCAGTGTGGAAAAAATCTAATGATACTAATTTGATGTCGCAATTTTGATTACCTTTTCAATAAATTAAGTTAATAAATTTAAATATTTGATTTTAAAACAACTTCATAAATTGATTTACTGAGGACAGGGACGGAGGGAGATCACAACACTCACGTGAAAGCCGCCCCAACCTAAAAAATCTTGGGAGGCACTAGCGCCCGAACATTCGGCCCCAGCAGCACGTCCGGACGAAGCTTCCCACCCGTACGATACGATCCACAGGAGCCCATTCGATCCCCCCAGCCTTCCCACAGCGCATGGCTCGCCTTCCCACAGCGCGGCGTGTGCCGGCCCCTAGCCCGCACCGTCTGCAGCCCCCGGTGCGTCGGACGCCCGTCCGCAACCCCCAGGGCCCCGTCACCCCATCTCCCACCCTAGCGCGCCCCTTCCGCGGGTGCCTCGGCTCGCCGCGCCCCATCCCCTAGTGCCCAGGGGCGCCATGCCCCATGACTCCTGGACGTATCTCTAAAATATGAAACAATGCAACATACGTCTGAAGGAGATGAAACATTTAAAACATATACATGCCATATCTGGGCATCGGGCCGGCCCGGCCCGACACGGCACGATGGCTATCGGGCCAAGGAGGCACGCCGTGCCTCATCGGCCTGCGGGCCTGGCCTTCGGCCCAAGCACGAGCCTGTGGGCCATTTTTCGTGCCGTGCTGGCCCGTGAGGCACGGCAAAAATAGCAGGCCGTGCCAGCCCACAACCCGTTAAATCTAAAACACCTCCAAATAAACATCTCAATCCATTTTTTTTCAACCATGAACACGTAAGTATGAATTTTGACCAACATAATTTTTTCACACTTAGCCATTTAGGACACTTAGGCAATAAACAACAGCAATAGCAAGATGAAGACAACAGATTTAAATATCAAAAAGAGTTGTTTTGTGCAATGCTGCCTAATTAAAAACCTACCTAGATAAAACTCACCCTTGTGAGAAACCCTAGGCAGAAAAAAAGAGTACAGCCAGCTCCAAATGTTTTAATCTTACATAGTTATTATAGACCATTGTCCAAATGTTCAAATGAAAACTAAGCAAGTGAGTGAGGGACACATCCACTCTCAACTCACACAAAAGTACTCCAACACTCCCAGCCAACCAATGCCACTCTCAGCCACCAGATGCATCATCTTCACCTTCTGGTTCATCCAGGAACAGATTCTCGAATGCATCTTCAATTTTCTTGGTATCAGCAGCTTCATGTTGTTCCCTCTTCTCTCCTAGCTCCCAGTCCTTCAACAAGGTCAGCATCTCAACATGTTCTGGTTTCAAGCTCTGGCGCCGTTCTTCTAGGATCCTCCCTGCTAAGCTGAAACAAGACTCTAAAGAACAAGTGGAAACAAGAACTGACATGACATCTCTGGCCATAATAGCCAGGATGGGATAGGTTAGTTTGTGGTCCTTCCACCACAGAAGAATGTCAAAACCATCCTCATAAGCAGTTATGCAGTCGCTGTCCAAATAGCTTGAAAGTTCAGAAGCAGTAGAGTGAGAAGAAGAACAGGCAGTGCCACTGGAAGGACCAGGCAGACCTGATCCTCCAAAAATTACCCCCAAGCCTGTTTTCTCTTACCAGTGGGTGGGGTAGGACCAGCAACCCTTTGTGACCTGGTTGCACCAAACTTTCTCAAATATTTCTCAAACATTTTATGCAACTCAGTTTTCAAATCAGCATAGTAAGTAGTGTAATCAGTACCAGTATATTCAGTAAGTAAATGGAGGACCCTTTGCATACCTCTGAGCTTAGCTCTAGGGTCAAGAATGAATGCAAATGAGTATAAGAGAGGAATGTCCTTCCAATACTTAAGAAATTTATGCTGCATAGGGTACACAAAGGGTCTAAGATTAACATCCCTTTCACATGCATGCAAATGGGTTGCAATCTCTAGAACATGGTGCAGCACAAGAGGACTGGTAGGATAATAAACACCAGACAGTGTAACAGTAGAGTCATAAAATACTTCCAGAAACTCCAATATTTTCCTAGC